AGCTCTGTAATCACTTTATTCAGCAACTCAATTATCATAAAGTAACTAACATTGGCACCAAATTACACGTTCATCTTGATCAATAGGTCATCAATTCTAAAAGCTGACAGCAGCTTGCAACTCCTGCAAGCAAAACTCCTGCAAAAAATGTAGTCAAGTGACCTGGGACAATTAGGATTTCAGTAATGGAACAATGTGCTGACAACTTTGTTTACTGACAGCACTTCAAATTTAACAAGCAGTTTCTTGAAATTCTCACTCTTGCAGTTAAAGAATTTTGGAGTTTGAAATATTCAGCATCTTTCAGCTACCACAGGAGAATAAATAATCAAAGTATTTAAAAACATGGTAGTTTTACACCAAAACACCATACCTTCATATAATTCACTATTTTAGCAAGGACTCCAAACTTGTAGCCAGAGCCTCCTGAAAGGGCTTTCAAGTTAAATGATCCATTGCTGTGATCTACAAAGGGAAAAAACAAACAATTTAACGATGCTTCAACACCACCCTGCTGGTTCTGAGCTCTGTCTCCTTCTCACTCTACTTTCAGAAGGTTTCAGAATGACATCTATAGACAGAAAGGTGCGTGGCAGGAGGAGACACCCTCAAGATTCTGTCCTAGCACACGTGTTGATCCAAATCCAGTTCCAGGACACGGCTCTGGAACATTTCTGAGCAGAGCTCCACAAATAAAAAGTTTCCTGGGACTTGACCTTTAAGACAGCAGCAAGTGACTGCTGCGTTATGACCATAAGAGAACATGTTTAATTCGGTGGCTTAACATCCCATAATCATTTACACTGCATTAATCCAGGCTGAAATAATGCACTGCATTGGCTCTACTGAGATAGCTGAGATAGGGGCAGAAAGTTTCCCTTCTTCCCAGAAGGCATTCAATGGTTACACAGCAGGTAAAGGAAGGTTGTGATTTTTTTTATTATTTGTTTACTGTTTAAAGTAGCTGTTAGTGGAGAAATTTATTAAACAGACCTCTATAAATTCAAAACAATTCAACCTGGTGTGTTGCACCACTGGAACAACAATTCGGAATCCCCTTTGTTGTCAAATCTTTATCACGTTGTTTCAAAAATTCTTGCAAGGTCGTTAATGACCATTTCATTAACTTCAGCTCTTAGCACAGCACATTAAACACAAATATCCACAAACCACTATCACAAGCCACAGGCCCATTTACCAGCAGAGGGTTGCTCAAACCTAATGGCAACAGCTTTTTGGAGTTTCAGCTACTCCAGGAAAAGAACATCTCTTTGTCATCCCGGGAATTTTTTAATCCACTGGTAATTTCTAAGCACATCTGGCAGGACAACAGGTATCTCAAAGATACTGAGCTCCTACTATTTCTGTGGAAAAATCAGTGGAGGGTGAGAAAAAAACAGAATTCTGTAGCTGACATTGTGTTAGAGACTTCACATAGCACAACAATTCTAAAATTAACGTAGAAGAATCAGTGCAACTCCAACTGCTGAAGAACATTTTATTCTGGTTACTAAATTAAGACTGAAAAAAGGGAGAAAAACAAAAGCCAGCTTCCTCTGAAAAGACATCCCGTAGGTATTTTCCCCCACAGGGTTCCCTTTTAACATTAAAAATTAATGTCTATGCAGGATATTTTATAAATAGATAAAAATCATATGTGTAACTTCAAACAGTGAAGTGATTAAAATAAATTCAGAGGTAACACGAACGGTTAAGACAACCCATCATGTCTTTTATTCTGTCAATTGAATCGGGAAGATTATCTTGTTTAATCTGCCTGGCTACAGCCTGCTACAGTTCATGACAGGGGAATCTAAGCACACGGGGAGGCTGGAAATCTGCAGATATTAACACTTCAAACGTCATGGTCTGATGGCTGACTCCAGCACAAAGCAAAGCAGGGTCGTGGCTGCACTCCCAGCGCGGGCTCTGCTGCTAACGAGCTCGTCAGGTCCCAAAAAACAGGGGCGGGGCAGGGTTTTGTTTCTTATTCCAGACTGTACGAGTCATATTTATGAATGATTTACTCCTGGGGTTGAGGGCTCGATGCAAATGAGCACAAAGGAAGTTGTCAGCAGCATCGTGCTCCGGCCAATGGTAGGAAAGCTCCATCTTAGCTGTGCCATAAGGCTGCACTAAAAAAAGGGACCAGAACGGCGCTCTCGCAGCATCCTTTCACACAAGAGGTAGGTGTGTATCATTTTATAACATTCTCTTAGGTTTATCTCGATTACTGAAAGAAAATATGCCTGTAAGCTATGAACCTGCAAAAGCTGCTGGGAATCAGGGTGATTTTTCCCTGGGTTTGAGCAGGGTTTAATCCCGCTGAACGCGGAGGAGCTTGTCTTGCACGATCAGACAAGCACTTTCACCATCTGTGCACTAATGGAAAATTGATGACCACTCCATCTTACAGCAAAGCTAACACCAGCAGCCAAGATTCAGTAAACAAAATGGATTTCATCCTTGCAGGGGAGGTGGCTCGTTTCCTGCAGCCTCACGTTGCCCGCGATTGATTCTATGTGTTTTTAGAGAAACGCCAGTGAAAGGCTTTTTCCTTAAAACAAAGACCTGAAACGTGAGAAATGCTACCTCCCAGGGGGTATTCTGTAAATTAGGCTGCCTAAAAGAGGTCTGTGTGCGTGGATGTGCGAGAAACCTGTTCTAGGAATGTGTTATATCGGGGTAGGGTGAAAATCCCGTGGCGTGTTATTACCTTTGGAATATCGGAGCAGCCACAAGGAAAACGGACAGGTTAGAACCCATCTGAGATTTGTAAATGCTTTTACCTCAAGATGTCTATTCAGTGGTTGCTTAAACAGGACTTCCCCAGTACTGCATTAAAAGGATTTTTTTTGCCAGTCATTTCCCTCTGCTCCATGAATATGGTTTCAAATAAAGCTGGTCCTCTGCAGTGCCTAAAGATGGTAATGCTTTTAAATTAAAACCCAGTGCAGATATTAGAGGAGCCAGTTCATTAAATATTTAACTCCCTGCATTTTGGGTACATATAATAGCTGACTTGATTTCAAATCAGACTGGCTGATGATGTGTATTTGAACTGTGTCCTTACAAAATACAAAATAAGTGAAACTGCAGGAAAACAGCCCATTTTTGACAGCTTTCAAGGACATTAACCTTAGTGCTGTGGTAATTCTGAATACCCAGCAACAGCTACTTCAGTCACGTATTTTAATAATTACAGCTATGAGTAGCTAATCTTTATCTGCCTTGCTTTATTCAAATCTAAGGAAATCATCATCATCATCCTCAAGGGGCACAAACCACCTCCAGCAAGGCATTAAATTCCACCTCCTGGAATAAAGATGAGTGTGCCCTAATGGTGGCTGTGGAGTGGGAAGGGGGCTATGCTGCACTGTGCCTGGCCAGCCTTGCTGTGCCCAAGATGGAAAAAAAATACTAAAAATAGTAAATTTTGCATCACATGAACAGTTCATTTTTGTGCCCATGTGTTTACAGAGCGAGCAAACTTACACGTTACAGATTCCAGCAAAACCCTCAGTCTTAGAAATCTGTTTACAAAGTTTGAAACAAAACTGCTTTTTTTCCCAAGAATATCCTCTTGCCATTTAAAATACACAATTAAATCCTAGTTATTTTAATTACTCCTTTAAGGGGACTCCAATTCCTTTTATTTGGCCCGCCCTCTCTCTCACAGATTTTCAAATAAGTCTTCAGGTCACCCCTTTAAAAACCCTCCTGACTTTTAGCCCCAAACAAGTCGGCTGAGTTTCCTTCCCAGACTGTGACCAAATCAAGCCAGGACCTGACTCAACGCAGGAGTATTTTTAGTTTGGGTTTGCTCTCTGTAAACTTTTGTTTAAGAAAAAACCACCAACAAACAGTTGCGTTAATCCTACCCATCTCAGTCATACTTTGTATATTCGATTACTAATTTGTGTGTTCAGTTCGAGATTTAACAGAGGAAACAGTAAGTTACTGCAACTGCTCCAGTAAATGTCTGTATGGAATGCTAATGCCAGGTACCTTCTCAACCACAAAGGTGTTCTGTTTCAATTTAAATCCATTAAAGACAGAAGGATAAAGAACAAAATGTATAATATTTGAATGATAAAAGTAAGACACAGATAGCAAGCTGGTTGGGCTGCATCATCCTAGTTTTCACTATATACCTTTTTTTTTTTAAATAATTCCACAGAAATGAGGACAGGTGCTTAGGCTGCTTAAAGTCAGCTGCTTTAGTACACACCACCACCACCATGCTCCACCTAAAAACTCCTGGCTATTTCCTCAAGGAAGTATGGAGATCTGACTCCATCTCTTTCTCCCACACCCAGTTTTAAATTGCCTGAGGGATTCAAAGGTTATTATGACATCCTACAGCACGCCATGACAGGCAACCAGGAGTTACTGTGGCTCCTTGGACAATTCTTACTACATAAGATTATAAACCAAAGGCAGATTTATAAACCAAAGCCAACTTTTGCTTCATCTCTCCCCATATCCCCAAGCAGCCTCTTCTGCTGGGTGCAAACACACAGCACTGGAGCCAGGGAGACATTCCTTCCCCAGCAGTTAAGCAGAGCTGAAAATAAGAAATCAGAACTCCTCAGAAAGGGTTGGGTTTTCCTTGGTATAAATCCCAATGACCACGGCAGCACAAACGGGATTTTCAGCGGTCGAAACCACTGTACACCTTGAAAACTATCTCTGTAACTTCTCTGTCTGTGCACAGAACTGAAATGAAGAAGCCAAGCTCCCTCATTCCTGAATAACTCACACCACGTGATGCCTGCACAGAGCAGACACTGCCGAAATAAACGTTCCAGACCAATCGCAGAGTTGTGCATTTGGAGTGTGACACTTCTGTGAGCAAATATGAGTATGCAACCATCCATGGCTGTAGGAGGTGCGAGCACTTAGTCTGAGCTGAAGTTCTTAACAGTTTGTGATAAAAAAAATCACAGCATGTCCTTGACTGACAGTCCTCAACAGCTTTGTTTTTGTGTTTCAGCCCCCGAATCTGTGACGGCGAGCACGCTAAGACAACTCCTGAAGAATGGCAACCCTCAACAGCACTCACTGGAATGAGACTACGTCCATTTCCCAGTATCTGGGCTTCCAAGTGCAAAAAATTTACCCTTTCCATGACAACTGGAACACTGCCTGCTTTGTTATCCTGATCATATTCATCTTCACTGTGGTTTCTCTGGTGGTGCTGGCTTTCCTCTATGAACTGCTGGACTGTTGCTGCTGTGTGAAAAACAAGACTGTGAAAGACTTGGAGAATGAACCCAATCCTGTCAGAGCCATGCTGAACAGCTTCAGGAAGCGTGAAACAGAGGTGGTGTAGGAGGGACTGAGCACCAGCACTTGGAGAACGTTTGACACCTTGAATGAAGCCTCTTGTACCTTACAAATGAGCAAGTCACGTGCTTTTTTGGTTTGGTCTTAAATATAACAGGTTGTAATTTTATCTCTGGATGTGAACTGGAACAATTGGCAAAGGCTTTCCAAGTGTTTAGCAGAAGGACAATCTGTTGCAGTGTTATGGGAGAAGAAAAGATTTTTTGTTTTAAATGAACTTTTGCTGTTTATATTGAGTGACTAGCATAGAATTTTGTCTACCTGACTGAAAAAGTGTTGCCTCATGTGCATAAATCTGTGTTGCTTAACCAGAGAAAACGTTTATAAAAATGCTCAACAGTCTGATCACACACAGTGCAAAGACACAGCAGTGCCATCCCACCAAGTCAACTGCACAGAGACAGGACAGACAGACCAGGGGTGAGAAAAGACATGGGAGAGAAGGGTGTGGAGACCCCTCAGACAGGACAGCACTGGGTGAATTCTTGCCTTTGGCAGCACTTCTTATTATAGGTTTCTTGCTTTTAGAAGAGACAGTGGTGGGTGGAAAATTAAGCCAATGTGAAATGTATCCCTAAAATTGTCATTTCTAACCTCCTGTGGTAGTTTGACCCTTTCTCTCTCCTCCAGTTCTCCAGTTCCAGAGAACTGTTCTCCCTTTATTCCATATTCAACCTGGTCAACAATTTCTGGGTGTCGAGACCTGAGAAACCCACTTCCTTCAGAATATCTGCCCCTTTCCTCAAAATCCTACTGCAGTGGTACCACTGCTGAGGAGAAACAGGGACACTCCTCTGCCCCGAGGCTGCTGCCTCTGTGGCAACCACAGCACTACAGGGGGTCTGGCAGCAAACAAAAGTCCTGCCAGGAGGGAAACAAACTCACCTAAATGGCAAAAAAAGCGACCTCACAGTCCACCATGTCTGAAATTCCTTTGTGCTATGGCCAGTACCTATAATTACCTCTTTTTTTTTGTGAATGCATCAACTCCCTCTCTCAGGGTGAGCACGCCTAAGCTCCAGAAGATCTGGACACAATGGAAGACTTGGTGCTGCTCCTGGTTGGTGAGATGGAGTCGTCAGACACCCAGGGCACTGCAAACCAGCACAGCTAGTCCAGTGATTCACCTGGAGAAGCAAACTCCCTTCTTCAGCCACAAAACAACACAACGACCGCTGCAACCATTCATCTCAGATGCGCTTCTTCCAACAGTGAAGCTTTGCCAGAACCAGCCCCACGTGCGGAGAACGCTCTGAGATAAAAATCAAACTATAAGCACAATTAATGGAAGCTCACGCCCCAAGTACAAGATAATTTAGGATCCACACCAAGACTTACGATGAAGACATCAGCGGTGGTAATCACGACCTTCCGCCGCATGCGGCAGCATCAGCCCGGAATAACCAGTGTCCAGCTCAAGAGAGGCCCAGAGTAGCCATTGGGATACACTGAATTAATTGGCACTTCTCTTTCCAGAAAGAAAACGCTGTGGACACTTGCAGCGTTCCCACCAGATGCCCACCGTGGCTGCACACAGGAAGGCAGCGTGCAGGAAGCACCACGGTCGGCCTCTGCTGCGCTGGCACCGCGTTCTTACGCCCTCCCGAGAAGCACACGGAATGGCAAACCTTGGGACCCATTCCAGCTATTTATTCTCCAGGTCTACAAAGGTGAATGGGTGTCTGCACAAGGAACAGAAGGCAAAAGTCTCACCTTGCACAGCCCTAGAGACTCAGGATGATTCTTTCCCATGAAACAGCCCCTGGAGATTTCGGCTCTGGACTAGCGTTGGCAAAGACCACCAAGACAAAGGTCTTAAGATAAAGACCCCAGCCATGACTTACTGTTCATTAATAAAATGGAACAAACAGCTTTGATCTATTTCGTTTATTTGGCAGTTACTAAATCTGAACCGAATAAACAAGGCAGCTTTGAATTTTTTCAAGTAACTTGCTGGAATAATGATTTTAAATAACAATAGTAATCACGCCATAGTAATCGCTGTAGTAACAGTGGGAAGCTTAGAGCCAGTCTTCACACAGGGGCCAGATTTAGCTATGCAGTCATCTGAAGATCAGCAAGATCTCCATACCTCTCCTCCCCCAAAAAGTGACCAGGGCAGGTTCTCTGAGTCACAGAATCACAGAGCAAGGATTCTGTGGGTGCTACTTATCAGTGCAACACACAATCACACATTTATCATCTTAGTAGTCGCTACTAGGACTGATCATATTAACTTTTGTCTCTTTGGGGAGGTTTGTTTCTTTATTCCACCTCCCCAGACCCACCCTTGACACCTCCATATACCAACAGGCACCTGCCAGTCTGACAATTCAAATATAAAGCAGGTTTTGAAGCAAAGGATTTGGACTCTGCAGCAGAAAAAAAAAAATCTAACAAACCTTGAAACCTTTCTGATACTATCTGGAAGGAAGCCAGCAGCATAAAAGATCAAGTGTGGTTCCTCCCAGCCACACTGTGTCCCCGTTTGTGTAAGCTCATTGTCTGACAGCCGCAAAAGCACTCAAAGTAACTCTCAGCCCACAAAACCACAGAAACAAAGTTAAAGCTTCTTCATCTGCTCCAGTCCTCCAGATCAGACTCATATTTGAACCCTCCACCCTCTTCATGCCTCCCCATTCCTTTTTCCCTGCTAAATGCTCTCACTCAGGAGACACAGCTTAGGGTAGCCCACTTAGAATTTTATTTGGAGAGCATGGCAAAGGGATGGATGGAAAACTGGCCTCCCCTGACTTATTTTAGCATGTGTGGCTGATAAAGTTTATTTGGGGCCTGAGAAGCTGCAAATACAGACTCACCCTCCCTACTCTTCCCCTCAGACAGAAGATACTTCACTCCTCCCACCATCCTTGACTTTCTTCTCCATTGTTTTAAGCTCTGTCATTTCTTTTAGAGTCTAGGACAGAGCCACATGTTGTGCAAACTCATGTGTTTGCACAACAGGGTATTCTGTGCTTTTAGTAACTCCTCACATTTGATCTGACCTTTAGAGAGCAGTTAAGAACTGCCACTGCTTTCAGAGCAAATCCTCTCCCCAGTGCACTTTCCACATGCTGGCACTATTTTGGCGCTGCTTTATTAACTGCTTATTTGATACTGAGACGTGCATTACCAGTGCCACCATCCCAGGGAAACCACACAACTCCTGAGCAAAGCAGGCAGAAACCTCTGGAGGCCCCAGGTAAAACAAGGACAACTGCTAATTACAACATGCAAGCCAGACAAGATGTACCTTGCAAAATCCATCCCATGCATGGATACCCCTCAATTTACAGTTTGCTAAATGCTTTAGCTGCTCTCTTGCCAGAAATAATCATAGAATCACAGAATGGTTTGGGCAGGAAGGGACCTTAAAGCTCATTCAGTTCCAACCCCCCACCATGGGCAGGGACACCTTCCACTAGACCAGGTTGCTCCAGGCCCCATCCCACATAGCAAAGACAGAGAAAATGAATGAAATCACTGTTCCTGCTTGTCCAGCAAGCACCAAAATCCACAAACCAAAGCCCAGCTTCACATGAATTATTTTGGCAGCAGCAATTCATCCAAGTCATCACAATGAGGCTTAACACATGTGCATGGTAGGGAATGTCTTTTTTCACATCGTGCAAGCAAGTTTCTAAAGAAAAAGCACTTAAATTTAAGAGAAAGAATGGCAGCAGCCACCAGCCAAACTCACAGATATGGTGTTATTCACATTAATAAACCATAGCTTAAGAGGCAGGCAGTGGGAAACACCAAGCAGCTGCCACACAGCAGATTCTCACCCACCTGAGTTTTGTTTTGAGCTGGAGGAGCCCCCTTGTTCTACCTTGGCTTTCTTCTTCTTGGAGGCAGAGGAGTCCGAGGACAGCGCCGGGCGTTTCTCTACGGCCGGCGTGGAGAGGGCTCGCTTTTTGAACAGCTCCCGCTCCCTGAGCAAGCTGGGATCCATGGCTCTGCCCCGGGAAAGAGGCGAGACACAGGAGTCTGGGTCAACAAGGTATTCAAGAGCGGAGGTATCTGTTTATCGCAGAATATGCCGAGTTGAAAAAGACGCATTAAGGGTCGAGTACAACTCGGCCCCGCACGGGGCATTGCAAGAACCCCACCGTGTGCCCGAGAGGGTCGTCCAAAGGCTCCCTGGACTCTGCCAGGCTCGGTGCCGGGACCGCTTCCCCGCGGAGCCTCACGGAGCTGTTTATTTCTTGTTCCCATCCTCCTCCCGCTGCGCGAGGACTTCAAAGCACAAGGACTAAGGTGGCAGAGCACCACCGGGACCCCAGGGGCGGAGAAAAGGGATTGCTGAGTGCGCCCACGGGGGTGCGGGAGAGGCGGCCACCGGCACCCACCGCCCGCGTTAGCGGGGGGGGGAAGCGGCGCAGGGGACAATGTGGCAGCGCGGCCGGAAACCACCGGCCCGAAGGGCGCCCGGCTGCCCCGATACCCGCGGGCAGGAGGC